GTATTAATGTTACAGACAAAACTTAGAATCGTGGTCGTGATACTAAGTCGATCAAACCAATGGCGAATTAATGGTAAAGCAATATGAGACACATATCTAGTTTCATGAATATGCCTTAAAAGACATCAAAAATTGCTTCAATACGCAAAATTCTAAGCGGGCAGATTTAGGTAGAAAAATTTGTTTTGAAAGAATTTATGAGCTCGCCCCAAATTTCTTAAATCATTCAGCTTATAAAACACATATTTACAAACTGGATGGTGCAAAGGAAAAAAAGAGTGAAACAAATTAGTGCCACAAAACTAACTGCCTTCGTGCTGCTGGAAAACGGGAGCACAGACCGCTAATGCACCTTAATGCACTGGTACAATGTACCAATGCATTCACGTATATTTTTTACTCAGCAGTCAGTTGCGAAAAGCTCTTAGTTTGACTGCGATTTCAGTGGGGCGGGAGCCTTCACTAGAGCTCGTAGCCAAAAAATAATCCATTTTAGTAAATTTGAGGAAGTACTTGCATCTTTCGAAATTCACGCTCTGAATCAATTTTCATAGGGGCATTGCCCTGCATAAAATTGAGGGAAATTTTAGCGCAGATATGGCTATCATTGCAATTAAAATGTTCCCAAGCGAAGAAAAAAATGTTGTCACAATTGACCATAGTGTTGCGGAAGAAGACTTTAGCGGAATTAAATTCCGATTCAGAGAGAAGAATTTGGTGGTTTAGTGGTTGCAATAATTCTTCTCCTGTCTTATTCCTCCGGGTTCTTAGCAATCCTATGTAGTGTAGATACCCTGAATTATCTCAGTCGCTTATTAATCTTTCTTCGTTTCACTTCGTCAGCTGACAGATACGCTAGCTTCACCTGAGGGGAAGATTAAGATGGAAGTGTCAGTAATATCAACTATTTATTCGTGCCTCAGGTATAAGCAAGAGTGCGAATAATCCACGTGTATGAATGAAATATCGGCGTGTAACGGCGAAAAATACCGGCGTCCAGCAGCAAAGCTCCCATCCCTTCTCCATGCTCGGCGAGCCGCCTTGGCCTGCCCTAGTTGCCACTTTGTCCCGATCTGTTGTTCACAGCTGAAGATCCACAGCGACTCCTGTCGATTCGTTTTTGTCAACGTGTATAAACATATCCGAAAAAAAAACACCATATGCACAGGTTTAAGACAAGCTTAACACCATATGTACAGATACGCGACAAACAAAGTAATGACTATTAATCGCTGAGAGTCCAAACATGCACATTAATCACTGAAATCTAAAAGTATTCAGTAAACATCGCTTAACGCGACATATATTGCGCTGCTGAGGTACAATATGTGCTTTTCATCCTTCAGCGATGCATCATCGGACTGCAGCGCGCCAGGCATATCGGTGCGAACGTACGTTTTGCGCTAAACTTGCAGCAGCCAAATTGTATGCAGCAGGGATGACTCATGCCTTGCAGGTTAACATGTGAACACATACTGGCAATATTTTGGCTTTTTCCTGCATGTAAGGGGAAAGGGGGTCAGGTAACACTAACTGAGGGTTAGCAAGAACTTCTAGCATGCATGGTTATCAATTTTTTGCATGGAGTGTAGTCGCTTCCCCAGTAAGCAGTCGTTCATCAAAAATTGCAAATTTTGAAATGCACAGGATGTCGAAGCAGAAGGATTTCTGCCTCTCATCTTTCCTGGTTGCTCAGTTGAAAGTGGGTGACAAAGTTCACACATATACGTACACACCACATGCCTCTCGACAATATGTGTTTGGTGGAGTCGCATTCCGTCACCAAATATGTAAATGGCAGTGAGGTTGACTCGGGATCAGCAAAAAACTCCTTACTTTCATCTCGTCACTGATTATGACGCATGCATAGAGTTAGATGGTTTTCAAGATTTTATAGAAAGTCTAGCCGAAAAAAACGCATCGATTCACGAATAAAGGGATTAACAGGAAGCTTTTGAGAGAATCGATTCCTGCTGACGATGAGTCCTTCAATCTGCGACGGACAAAATCGCTTTTTCCAGATTTCGATGAGTATTACTTTTCGCCGCATATTAAAAGCGCTGAAGACACAATATGATGATTAATAGATTTCCTGGGGAAGCTGCTTAATGAGTTCGTTCCTTGTTAACATACCACAAACGCTTTTTTTTTGAATTGAGAGTGCTCATACCGTCCTGAAGGTATCTGTTGTTCACTTTTATTTCTTAATAGCCCTCTCCTTCTT